GTGTGTGTGGTGCTAGGAGCACACCAAGGTAGCTCAGATCTAAATCACTGGAATCCAAGACTTGCTAGAGGCTGTGATACCTGAAAGAAAGAAGACCTGAGGGCTGAATAGGAATGAACTGAGTGAATGGGGAGGAGCTGTATGTGGGGCAAGGGAAAAGCACATGCAGAGGTCTCGGAGAGGATGTGAGGTGCTGGCTGTGATTGAAACTGGAGTATACTTGAGGTGAGTGGAAGTAACAAGACTGGAAAGCAGGGGCTAGCTGTTGAAGGGCCCCATCAGCTGTGGGAAGGTGTTCTAGTGTGGTCCTGAGGTCAGTAGAGAATGGCTATGGCCTCACATGGAATGAGCAAAGAGACAGAACCCACTCAGGGTCTGGTGTAGCAGCAAGATGGTGGCCTTTGCAGTGAGCAAGGGAAGGAGAGAGATACGGATGAGTTCTGCAGATACTTGGCTGGTAAAATTGAGCCTTGTGTTTAATTGGACTGGGAACATGAGGTAGTAGAGTTAAGAAAAGTGTCACTTGGGATTTAAAGTTAAGCAATGGAATGGAAAGTAATGTTTTATAATGAAACAGAAAAGATAAGGAGTATGTTAGGGTGAGAATGAAAGGCACACATAGTAGGGAAGCTGGTACAAGGAACATTAATTTGGCACATTTGGTTTGAGATAAAGGCTAGACTCTTGTATAAAAATATCTCCTAGTCAATGCCATGGAAGCCCTGGAATTCAAGGTTACAATGAAGGCTAGGCATTTACCTGTAGGAGTCCTTGCATAAAGCTAGCATTTGAAACCTCCTGAGAAATTTAGCAATTATTATGAAAAAGCACAGGGTATACAGACCAGTGACGTGAATCAAATTTAGGATATTTTTCACTTAGGATAAAGAAGTTGTTGAAATAGACCTTAAAATAAAGGTGGCAGCACGAAAGTTAACCAGGTAGCTTTTGCTGAGGAAGTAAGAAGCCAGAAAAAGTCAAAGATGTCTTCTCAAGTAGAAATAGTCAAGCAGCAGAGCTAAGGAGAGTGAGGACTGAAAATAAGCGGTTTTGTAAAAGAAGTACAATCCCACCTGGTGCTAGCTAGAGGGAGAAGCCATGCTGGAGGAGGCTAACACAGGATAGTGATTAGAGATGTACCAGTGAGCAGAAGCTTGCCTGCTTCAGCCCTGCCTGGTTCATCATTGTAGAATAATGTTTACTCACATGCATGTTAAATCACCTGATAGCACTGTGAACACATTCTTGTAGAAAGTGTGTGCTTTTGTTTTTGTGTGTGCATGTGTGTATGAATGAAGAATGTAGCAGCCTAGTGGAAGTTATTGTGGAAAAATTTTGTACGATGCATTTGATTTATTTATTATATTTGTTTGTTTTTGCTTTTCCTTTCTCAGGAAATTTTGAATCAGTTGGAATCACTCAAATTAGAAAATCATCGTCTTTCTGAAATGGTGATGAAATTGGAATTTGGTTTACATAAGGTACTTACGTTTTTCTATTCAGAAACCCTTTAAAAATCATGTTGTAAGTATTGATATTATAAAGATGAGGTAGATTAAACTAGTGGAATGAACCTTCTGCAGAAAAATTTTTTTCTTTTTTCTTTTGGTTTGTTTTTTTGAGACAGGGTCTCGCTATGTAGTTCAGGCTGGCCTTGAACTCACTGTGTAGTCTAGACCGGCCTCGAACTTGTGGCAATCCTCTTATCTCAGCCTCCCAATTTCTGGGATTATGGGCATGCACCACCCTGCCCAGCAGATATTTTCTCAAGTAAAATGAAATTAAAACAAGGATGTAAGTAAGCAAAATACGATTTTTCTATTCCATCAATAGGAAGATTTTGTTTAATGTTATTTTCATGATGAAATATTTGTATAGTCTGAACTTACTAGGGAAATGCATATAAAGAACTTGGCATAGTATTGATAGTGTGCAATAAATGTTAAATGCTTGTTTTATTATTGCTACATTGTAATTTCATTGCAATATCTCTTCATTATAAAGTATATCATCTTTTAAATAATTTAGTTTCATTTACATCTCAAAGTTAATTTAATCATGTTTTAGAGTCTTTTATGTCAAAACATTTTAGTTGGTGCTATAATGAACACAAAGATGAATAAGGTAGGATTCTTGCCTTTAAGACTTTAGAATAATTTAATAGGAAGGATAAAAATGCCTATCAGCTGCAAAACAAGAGAACATGACTAGCTAAGAGTGAGGTATGAACAGTGTGATACTCTTAACTATTTTGTTATAAGATTCTTACCATTTTCAGAATGATACATGTGTCCTGACTCATTTTTTTTGATGTTGGTCAAGTTCCCAGAGATGGTAGAAATTGTGTTTTTCTGTACTTCCAGAAAGTATTGTCTGCAAAAAGATGTATAATTACACATTGCTTCCTATTTGCTCCCAAATAGTTCTAATCTCACAACCATGGAGGCTGAGATAGAAGAAAAGGCTAGAAGAATACTTTATTTAAACTAAAAAAATGGGGAACTCTTTTTATAATATTTGAGATAGGCAGATTCTCTAAGTACCATGAAGCCATAAGGATTTTACAACATAAATATGTAAAACTTCTAGATGGCAAAAGGCCCCATAAAAAAGATCAGTAGACAGGAAAAAATATCTGTAAACAGATAAAAAGTTAATGTAAAATATCAATATATAAGAATTTCCTACAGAGGTAATAAAAAGGTAATTCAGTGGAGAAGGGGGCAAAACAGATAATTCATAGAAGTACTATAAATATTAAGTGAACAAGAAAAGCTATTAAACCTCCCTAGTAAGGATAAAAACTCTGACAAATTAGTTTGTTAGTGACTTTTAAAAATTATTATATAGCCATTGTTAGCAAAGATGTAGGGAAACAGGCTCTCTTATGCACTGTTAATGAGAAAATACATTGATACGACCTTTCATGAGGACAATTTAGCAAAAGATATCAATCTTCTATATACATATAGCTTTTAAACTCCTAGTTCAGGTACATTTCTGATTTTGAGGCATTCCTGAATTGTTCTTCAATGTTCCTATCAGTTTGCATTCCCAAAGAATTTATGCTATAGGAGCTAATGTGGAGAAACGATCATGACAGTGTTGTGTGCCATATTTAAAGTTTGAAGATAAGCTAGGTGTTTGTTTAAATGGCTAGTATGTGGCTGTCTACCATGAAATAGTGTGCTGTCATTTAGGAGAGCAGATGACATTTATCTAGTCTTGCTTCCTCCCCAAATTCCCCGAATACTTTAATGAAAATACTATTTTTAATAGCACAAAACCACAAAGATGGAAAAAATAGGAGCACAAATAATAGCTAAATATTTTTAAGGGGGAAGGTAGATGTATAAGTGGGCAGATGGACAGATGAAGGGGTAGATAGGTGTATGAGTAGAAGGCTAGATGTATGGGTGTGTGGGTGGATGAATAGTAAATGATTACTCAGTGCCCCTGCTAAAGCCAAATGAAGCTAGTAGGGCAGAAATCCAAGAAGTGATTTGGTTTGCACTTATGGAATGCTGAAAGGACTCAAGGTTTGGCAATATTTGATTGAGACATCTTATTGCATTCATTGATTCCTGTTCATATTTAAGAGTTGAGACCTCTCAGGGGAACTAAGCTAGATTATGACGAGAGATTGTGTTCAGCGAATTTCTCCTGAAACCTCCCTCTAACTAGTAATACAGTTCTTTCTTTGAACAGGCCCATTCTTGCTGCTCAGTTTTTATATTACCTCTCATTCATTTATCTGTAATTATTATTAATAATGTAATAACTGAAAAATTTTGACAGATGCCTGGAAAAGAAAAGGTTTATCTTTTTCAAATAAAGTATTTTTAATGATATCCATCAAACTGGCTAGTGAAAATCCTATCAGCAGTTTAAGCTTTCTTTGGTTTCAAAGTTACATGAAGTGTGAACATGTTGAACATATTTTTAGAAATAATTATAAGTGCCCTTTTGTATTTTACCACCTAGGAAAGCAGAATTATTTTTACAAATGAATATTGGGTTAAAAACAACTATTTTAATAAATATCTAGTTACTTTAATGAAAACAGCAGCTCAAATAAAATACTTACATTTTGAAATCTGACAGTCATTTGCAGTTTAGCTGATATATCCTGCAGATGTTCTCCTGAGATTTTATCTGGCATGGACAACTTTTTGAAAGATTTTATAACTCGTTGTCATCACTAGAACAGAGGCAGTTTAAAGTTTATGTTTTGGTTAGTTTTGTTTGTCAGATAACTCTTGATCAGCTTACTTTCAGAAAATTTTTTATAGAAAAGACCAGGCTAAACATTATATCAGACTCTCAAGATCACCATAAATTTGCTAAGTAAAATATGTTTAATAGGGGAAAAGGCTCTATATTACCAAGAAACACTTAGAATTAAAGAGAGATAAAATTTATGATCACAGAGCTAAGAGCATATTGGAATGGTAAATCTCACCCTAAACTTGAATCCTGCTTTATCGTGTCTGACTTTAGATACAAGGGTAGGTGCCAAAATTATATAAATGTGTTTAAATTGAGAGAATATTTATTTAAAACTTGTCCCTTTCAGGCAGAAGTCTTTCTTAGAACCAGAATTGTTTTATAGAATTAAATTTCTTCCCTTTAACTAGGTCTCTTGCTTTTTTCCCATAGGTATTCTGGGGCTATTCAGCCTTTTCCTTGCAGAAGAACCATGGCTGCTATTTTCTTTTCTCCTGCTTCTCCTGATTCTTGCAGCTTTCCACCACCTTTTTTCTATCCCTCCAGATATTGGAATATTTCCGGCACACCAGGAAGCCCATTATACCTCTTAACTTTCCACTCCCATTTACTTTTTTTTTTTTTTTTTTTTTGTGGCAGGGTCTTTCCATGTAGTTCAAGCTGCCTTGAACTCACTCTGTAGCCCAGGCTAGCCTCAAATTCATGACAATTCACCTGCCTCAACCTCCTAAGTGCACCACCGTGCCCAGCCTTCCCATTTACTCTTAAACAGAATCTTTTGTTTCTGTTAGTTTTAAGAGGACTAAAGGCAAAAATCTTCACTTTTTCCAATTATAGTAAAGCCATACATTAAGTAGTTGCAACTGAAACAAACTGAATTTTTCAGCCAGCAGGATCACAGATCACAAGTTTTATTGTACAAATTAAGTGACTCTAGTATTCTTTTTTTATTAGGCAAAAGAAATTTCACTAGCAGACCTTCAGGAGAATTATATTGAGACATTAAATAAATTAGTGTCTGAAAATCAACAACTACAGAAAGATGTAATGCATACCAAATCTCAGCTGGAGATCGCTACACAGATGTGCAAACAAAAAGACAATGTCTTTAAACTGACACTCAGCAGAACAACTCAGTTCAAGAATACGGAATTTAAGTAAAGTTTCTTTTGAATATGTATTTTTGCAACATAATTCACTTTTTAAGAATAATTTCTGACTTACAGAAATTAAATCATCATCAAAGGGTTCTGTTTAATTCTGAAGTATGCTATATACAAGTAAAGCTACAATCAGATAAAAAAATGGAGAGGAGCTTATGTAGCTCTTACATTAATGAGTTAGTGTTCTGCACTCTTCATGCAAGTATAAGCAACACCTTTATTCCACTGTGCCCATTTATGCTACTTCATACTTCCCCAACACGTGTCCCACTCCTCAGAGGACTCAGGATTTGGCAATGTTTGATTGAAAATTTGGTTTTTATAAAAAGCCTCCATTGTACTTTTGGTCAACTAATTATAGGCTATTATAGCATTTGGTGAAAACCACCTGGTTTCCGTTCATAGTATGTGGCTTCTGTGTCATCCTGCCAAAAGCCTTGCTGACACCCTCACCCCCACTCTTACCTGCTCAGTGTATGCAGTGCTCCCCCATCCTAACACCAGCCACTCTAGTTACTCTGGTAGTTTATTTGTCCCCTTTGGTATGGTGTGAGTGTGTGAGTACACGGACCTGGCAGTGGGGACTGGATATTTGGGATCTGCATAAGTAAAAGATCACCTGGTCTGAGTGAGGTTTCCATTTTGTAAATGATAGCACCATACAGCTTAGCCTCATTGTATATGTTTAAGTGAATGTCCTAGATTTCTGTTAGAAAGAGACAAGTTGCTGCAATTTTTCATTTGTTTTATTTTCTAACCTGCTATTCAGGCCAACCCATGGCCAGCACAGACATGATGGGATAAAGACTGAGCACTGCAAAACAGGTCTCCACTCTCCAAGAGGACAAGCACCGGATAGCACAGGCCCTGTGTCCAGGGCCTGCAGCCCTCTGAGTCCTCACCTCAGCTCTTGCAGCTCCACCATCTCTTTGCCTTCTTACTTTCTGGGTCAGACTCACTCTTTGCCTTCACTGCTAGATACAAATGATGCCAATTTTTCTGACACTATGTCTGATGGTACGAATGACCAAGAAGAGTTTATATCTTTGGTATGGAAACTTTCTGATTTTTCTAGCTTACTAGTTTTATTTTTGTTATTAGTACATGTTGTGACAATGAGTGCGTTCATCATGGAGACTTGGTCCATGCGCATAACACAGCTTACTCCTTTTTACTTTCCCTTTCCCTCTACTCCCTCCCTTCTCCCTCCAGTCCTAGATCCCCATTCCATCTCCAAAAGACCTGCCTCCTTGATTCTATAATCTGTCTTTTATTTTGCTCTTTAAATTATTTATATGTTAGGTTTCTCATATAGGAGAAGCAATAAGGTATTTAACTTTCTGTGTCTGATTTATTTCACTTAGCATTATGGTTTCAAGATACATCCATTTTGTTACAAGTGACTCAAATTTATCCTTCTTTATGGTTGAATAGTCCACCATTCTATAAATACCACATTTTCTTTATCCATTCATCTATTGATGGGCATATAGGTGGCTTCTTAAGATTTAGCTGTTATGAATTATGCTGCTATAAACATGAGTATTCATATATTACTGTAATATGATGTCATTAACTTTTTCATGAAGATTTAGAAGGGGAATAGCTGGGTCTAATGAAATTTCTATTTTTAGATTTAGGAATTTCCATACTGATTTCCATAGTGGTTGTGAAAATTAAGTGCCTGAACAAGGACTTGAACACTAGACCCACAGATTAAAAGTCTAATGCTCTACTGACTGAGCCATCTGGGCTTATTTCTTAGTTTAGGGGTAAAGAGGGTTTTTTTTTCCTTTTCCTTACTGGTTCTGTATCATAAATACCCTTTATTATTTTCATGTATTTCTCTCTTATATTTTTGCTTATAAGGACACATTCAGTCATTACCTTCCAGAATATATCCTGGTTCCCAAGTATAGCATAAGTTATAGATATTCATTTGTCTTTAACCCTAATTAAAAACTCCCTTCCTGTCTCTTTCAGAGAGGGCTGATTCTGTGCTAGAATCAGTGGGACAGGTGGTGCTGGTGAAGGTAGAGGAAGCAGTGCATCTGAAAATGTCTAGAGCATGACTTGGGTACCATGCCATGGTATCCCTGTCACCAGCTGTGGTCATGTACTGTACTTGGAAAAACTCAGTATTTTTGACTTTTTAATGTGCCAACTAGTTCAAGGAGTTTTCTTTTAGTTTTAAAGTCTCTATTTAATTTATATGTTATTCTGAAATCCAGAAAACCCTGAAAACTTTTTTCCCAAGTTCTCAACAAACCTTTTTTTGTACTAAAATCTTCCCTGACTTGCACTGATGTGGTTTTCTTTTCTTGATGAGAGTATCCATGCATTTTGCTTCAGAAACATCAACATATTTGGTTATGGGATGTAATCTCAGACTCTACAAAGTTAATAGAGTTGATTCTCATCTGGGGATTGTGTAATTGCATATGTGCCTGCGCCCTAAACTTTATCATGGCACTTCCACAGTCATGTGTGGATACACACAGGGCAGCAAAAAACCCAGATTCACCCACTTGCACATTTCTAGCTGAGGTCACACAAGGTGGCATCTACTTCCTGTCCTGCCCATAGAAAGAAGGGCAGAGAATGGCAGTGCAGGGGAGTCAGATCTGGGCCAGCCAGGTGGGGTTTGGATCCCAGCTCTAGCACCTGTTAGTGGGGGCTTTAAGAGAGCTGTGTAGCACTTCTGAACCTTTTTTCTCTGTCATAAAATAGAGATTATGGAATTTCCCAGGCTGAGGTGTTTCTAAGATTTAGGATTATAGTCTTAAGTGGGGAGTATATATGTATACGCATATCTGTTGTGTGTTTCCTGTGGGGTGATGAGTCTGTTCACTAATTCAGTGTTCAGAGTGACTGTAGAACTTAACTACTGCAAATGAGGGTGGACTGCATATAGCACATTTCCTAAGTTATCTCTCAAGTGTGTATTCTGAAACATCACTGGAACCAAGAGTTTGAAATAAAGAGCTGATTTTAGAGGACTGATTTTAATTGACATCAATTATTGGTAGATTTTTCAGTGCTTAAAATGCAAGTAACATTCAGATTTTAAAGTAGATTTGAAATAGTTTACATTAATTGTATTTTCTGTGGATAGAATAGCATATAGGTCTAAACTGAGATACCCTTCAGACCAATAGCTAATAATTTATTTTATTTATTTCATACTTTACATTGATGCACTTTAAGAGAGAAAGGGAAATAAATCTGTGTTACTTTCTATAGGATTCATTCAATTTTTTTATTGTCATTAAGATGAAAACAAATATGTCTTTGGGGAGACATTACCTTTTAATATTACTAGGTAGAAAATATCATGAATAGTTTATCTTAGGGATATAAATTCCTACTTACTTATATATGGCACAATTTGTCTCTCTCCTAGTACTCCACGCCTGCATCTCCCCTGGGTTCAATAGCTACCAGATTTCTGGAAGAGGAGGAGCTGAGGTCTCATCATATTCTAGAGCGCCTGGATGCCCATATTGAAGAACTAAAAAGGGAGAGTGAAAAGACAGTGAGACAATTCACAGCCCTGATGTAGCTGTTTATAAAATCACAACCTGGAAAAGAAACACTGAAGAGTTACTGTCATCTGAAGGAGCAGCTCTTTAAAAACATGAACATATAAAATTATAAAGATAGTGTATATTAAAACAGTGGTGAAGAAATCTGAAAAATTGGTGCTTCCCTTAGACATTTTCACTGCACTATTTGTTTGAAGGATTTCTTCCAGCAGTAACTTGTGAGAATCAACCTCTTTGTAGACTTTTTCTTGTATGAATATTTATTATCATAAAGTGATCCTTTCTCTTACTGACATAAATGTGAATGGCTGTGTACTCATTAAAATAAAGATTGTATGATATATTTTGAAAATAAGTAACTACAGGAACTTCCTTTTAGGGAAGTATGTAGTAGAAGCATGGGTTCCAGGTTCCACTGATCTGGATCGATACACTGGTTTTGCCACAGATATATTAAACCCTGGTTGCAAGGTTATGAATGGGGCCATGCTGAAGACCTCTTGCTCCAGTCTTAAGTAGAAGAGAGGCCGGCACAGGGGCAGGGCTTTGGTGTGTGGAGACTACCAGACACTCAGAATACTCAGCATCTACAGGAGACAATGGTCTGGATGTTCAGCACAGGAGACATTGAAGCCATGAGAGTGATTAACAGCCAAGGAGTGGCTGGGGATTTAGCTCAGTGGTGCTGCGCCTGCCTCACAAGTGCAAGGTCATGAATTCGATCCCCAGTACCACCAAAAAAAGAGCCAAGGAGGATGTGAAGAGAAAGAAGAGGTGGAGGCTGGGCTTGGGACCTTGGAGGATCCTAATAGTTGAGGCTCATAGGGGTTAGATCCAGCACAACAACTTAGAATGTGCCATTAGGGATGAGAAGGTGAATTCAGTGTACTTGCCAGCTCAAGGGATAGTTCCTGCCATTCTTCCCTCCAATGCTTTTTCACATCAGCACATAAGATAGTTCTACCTTAAAAACAAACCTCAATATTGTATGCTTTTCTATCTGCTATGCCATGTATTGGCTCCCTTTCATGCATACATTTCTGGAAAGAGAGAGCTGCAGTGACCATCTCTAGTTCTTCCCCTCTCATTTTCTTCCTAACCCTTTCCAACCTCTTCCTTCCCACCCCCATGAAACTGCTGTCCTGCTCAGTCACCTCTGACTTAATCACTCTTGAAGAATCAGTTCACACAGGGTGTCTCCTTCATTCTCAGCTGGCCTCTGTGATCTAGTGCTCCTCATTTCCTTCTGCCTTCCTGGCTATTCCAACTCACTGCTTCATAGGCCTTCTCTCTTCTATCTATGGCAGTAGCTTCCCAGGGCTCTGAGATGGGTTTTCTGACTCAGTGTACTCTTTAGAATTTTCCAATCTCTTCTCAAACTCTTACTACCATCTACAGGCCAGTGACCCCTACATCTACAACTCTGCAGAGCTGGTCTCATAGCTACCTAGCTGCATATGAAAGACCTTCACTTGGATGTCCCATAAGCATTGTATATTTAACCTTTTCCAAAGAAACCACTTGACTCTGATTCCACCTCAGTTTTCCAGTTCCTACAAGCTACCCTTATAATTCCTTCCCTACCCCATCTCTACATCCAGTCCATTGGGAGGCCCTATCAATTCAGTCCACATCTATGTCAGATCCAGTCATTCCCCTTTTCCACTACCACACCCTTATCTAAAATACTGCAGACTCTCACCTCGATTCTGGTAGCAGCCTCCTAACTGGTGTTACTCCAACACCTGACACTAATACATCGAACACAATTCTTCCAGAACTGGCCTTTAGGACTATCAGTCAATGTCACTGCTACCTCCCTCGAATCCTCCAGGTTTTTAATTGCACACAGAAAAAAATTCAAATTATTTACCATGATCCACGGCCTCAGTAAGCTGTGCCTGCTTCCATCATTCATCTCACCTGCCCCATGGTGGCCCACCTTACTTCAGTGCAGCAAAGTTTGGTATGTTCTACTCTCACCCGCTTTTCACCTGGAATCCTTTCTTTCACCGCATGTGTGATTGGCGTTTTCTTCCTCTCAGGCCTGCAATGTGACATACACCCACCTTGAGCAAGCTTTCCCTGGCTGCTGCCTCGCCTTACCTAGGAATCCCATTTTTTTTATTGGTACATTTTAGATAGACATAATGATAACATTCATCATAGGCAATTTATACCTGTACATGATATATCTTGATTCTTTTTTCCTATTCCCCTCCCCTCCAACTCCTGTTCCCCTTCTTATTTATAAAAGCTTTATTTCCATTTTTTCCTTCTTTTTAGTCCCTTCCTTTCCTCTTCCCTCCTCCCTTGTTCTCCTTCCCATTTGAACAATTTCTTCCCGTTCCCCAACATCTATTATACATTTTGGTACTTATTAACCAAAAAATTGCTGTTTTGGTACTTTTGATTTTTCACACCAGAGAAACTGGTGTAAATGTGTCCAATTTATTTCACATAAGGGTATAGTCTCAAGGTGCATCCTTTTATCTAGAAATGTCTCAAATGTATCCCTTATGGCAAAGTAGTATTCCATTGTATTAAAAACTCCCACATCTTCTTTATCCATTCATGGGCATTTGTGTTGTTTCCAAGATTTAGCTATTACAAACTGTGTTACTATAAACATGGGTGTGCATTTATCAGTGTGGTATGATGCTTTTAATTATTTCAGAAAGATACCAAGAAGAGGAATAGCTGGGTAAAATGGAAACTGTAGTTGTAATTTTTTGAGGAATCTCCGCACTGATTTTCACAGTGATTGCACCAGTCTGCATTCCTACCAACAGTGAAGAAGTGTTCCTTTTTCCCCACAGCCCTGTACACATTTATTATTGGTTGATTTCTTGATAATAGTCATTCTTTTTGGAGTGATATGGAGTCTCAGCATTGTTTTAATTTGCATCTCTCAACCAATGATGTTGAACATTTTTCTTTTTTTTTTTTTTTTTTTTTTCTTCATCTGAGAAATGTCTGTTCATTTTGTATGCCCAGTTTTGGATTGAGTCTATAAATGGTGCTATTCATTTACTGTATGTCAGGC